TGTTACTCTCATGTGTCTTACTCTCATCTTGTCGGTATTGTATACCATTTGTACACAGTGTTTTCGGTGCTGTTTCTGGAAAATAAGTGACCATGGGCCCCCAAGAAATCTTCTAGTTCCAACCCTACAGCAATAAGGGTTAGAATTCCTATAGAAATGAAGAAAGAGATCATTGATAAGTATGAAAGTGGAGTGCGTATCACCGACCTGGTCAGGTTGTACAAGAAACCCAAATCAACCATCTCTACTATTGTGGGCAACAGAAAGGCAATCAAGGAAGCTGTTCTTGCCAAAGGTTTAACTGTGTTTTCGAAACAAAGATCGCAAGTGATGGAAGATGTTGAGAGACTCTTATTGGTGTGGATAAATGAAAAACAGCTAGCAGGAGTTAGCGTCTCTCAAGCGATCATATGTGAAAAGGCTAGGAAGTTGCATGAGGATTTAATTAAAAAAGGCCTGCAACTAGTGATGATTGTGAGTAAAATTAAGGGGCCAGCAAAGGTTGGTTTGAGAGATTTAAGAAGCGTAGGGGCATACATAGTGTGATAGGGCATGGTGAGGCTGCCAGTTCGGACCACAAAGCGGCTGAAAAATATGTGCAGGAATTCAAGGGAAATACATAGAAACTGAAGGACTGAAACCTGAACAAGTGTTTAATTGTGATGAAACAGGCCTGTTCTGGAAGAAAATGCCAAGCAGGACCTACTTTACTCAGGAGGAAAAGGCAAATCCCAGGAATAAGCCTATGAAAGACAGGCTTACTTTGTTGATGTGTGCCAATGCTACTGGTGATTGCAAAGTTAAGCCTTTATTAGTGTATCACTCTGAAACTCCCAGAGCGTTCAGGCAAAAGAATGTCCTCAAGGATAAAATTTGTGTGTGCTGTGGAGATCAAACAGTAAGGCATGGGTCACTAGGGACTTTTTTTTATAACTGGTTACACCTGCATTTGCCCCCAATGTCAAAGATTACCCAACTGAAAAGAATTAGAACTTTAAATGCCTCTGGGTTTGACAATGCCCCTGGTCATCCTAAGACGTGGCAGAGCGACTTTATGGGGACATGAGCTTCATTAAGGTGGGAAATTTTTGCCTCCTAATACCACTCCTCTCCTGCAGCCCATGGACCAGCAGGGCATTTCCAAAATTCAAGAAACTGAACACAAAAGCTATGTTTCAAAAGTGCTTTGAAGTGACCACAGACACTCGATTGACTCTAAAAGAGTTTTGGAAGGATCACTTTAATATCCTCAATTGTGTAAACCTTATAGGTAAGGTTGGGAGGGAGTGACTAAGAGAACTTGAAAAATCTGCTTGGAAGAAACTGTGGCCAGAAAGTGTAGACAAAAGGGATTTTGAAGGTTTGAGGCTAACCCTGAGAGGAGTTTTACCCGTTGAGGAATCAATTGTGGCATTGGGGAAGTCCTTGGGTTGGAGGTTAGTGGGGATGATGTGAAGAGTTGGTGGAGGAGGACAATGAAGAACTAACCACGATGAGCTGATAGATCAACTTCAAGAGCAAGAGGCCAGACCCGGGGAAATGGTTCAAAGGGGGGAGAGAGAAATTGAAAGGAATTGCCTACTTCAAAGATTAAGGAAATGTGTGCAAAATGGCTTGAGTGCAAACCTTTTTTGATGAAAATCACCCTCACACAGCTATTGCAAGCCGTGCTGGTGACTGTTACAATGACAATGTTGTGAACCACTTTAGACAAATCATAAAGGAACGAGAGGTACAGGCCACTATGGACAGATATGTTGTGCGAAAGAAGTCCAGTGACTCTGAAGCTGGTCCTAGTGGCATTAAAAGAAGAAGGAAGTAACCCCAGAAAAGGACTTGCCACCTCAAGTCTTAATGGAAGGGGATTCCCCTTCTAAACACTAACACTCTCTCTCCCCTCCTCCCATCCCATCAATCATCACCAGATCTTCAATAAAAGTAAGTGTCATGTAATTGTGCATGCCTTTTTCAGTTTGTGTGTACTAAAATTAACATTTTTTTGTGGTAAAAAAAATTTTTTTCATACTTTTGGGTGTCTTGCACGGATTAATTTTATTTCCATTATTTCTTATGGGGAAAATTCATTCACATACCGAACATTTCGCATAACAGCCAGCCCTCTTGCACGGATTAAGGTCGCTATGCGGGGGTCCACTGTATATATATATATATATATATATGTTGTGCCGAATATGTAAAACTGGTCAATTAGCAAGAACTCATTTAAAATAAAGTTTTTTCTAAAATTTTCTCTTATACGTTTAAAGATATATATTTTTCATTAATACTGATGTAAAAATTTATAATTTTGCACCAAAAGAATCTTAGAAAACTTACCTAACCTTATTATAACAAGAACAATTTATTTTAGCCTAACCCAAAACTAAATGTATTTTAGATTTGTTTACAATAATTTAATACTAAAGAAACACAGTGAAATATATTTTTTTCGTTAGGTTTAGAATGATTTTTGTGAAATTATTGCATACATAAATTTTCGCTTGTCTTATATGGCAAGATGAGCGTTGATATTTAAGCCAAGATCGCAAGTTCTGCCTATTCGGCACGACTATATATATATATATATATATATATATATATATATATATATATATATATATATATATATATATTATATATTATATATTTATATATATATATATATATATATATATATATATATATATATATATATTATATTATATATATATGTATATATGTATACACAGTGGACCCCCGGCTTACGATATTATTTCATTCCAGAAGTATGTTCAGGTGCCATTACTGAACGAATTTGTTCCATAAGGAATATTGTGAATTAGATTAGTCCATTTCAGACCCCCAAACATACATACAAACGCACTTACATAAATACACTTACATAACTGGTCGCATTGGGAGCTGATCGTAAAGCGGGGGTCCACTGTATATATATTATAGATCTATATATTCTCCATGGGGAAGTGGAATAGAATTCTTCCTCCGTAAGCCATGCATGTTGTAAGAGGCGACTCAAATGCCAGGAGCAAGGGGCTAGTAACCTCTTCTCCTGTAAATGTTACTAAAGTTTAAAATAGCAACTTTTTTTTTTCGTTTTGTGCCACCCTGCCTCGGTGGGAAATGGCAGACTTGTTGAAAGAAAGAAAGATATATATTTATATATAAAAGTTTCAGCCATAATTCATTCCAGAAGGCTGTTCAAGTGCTGTTACCGAACGAATTTGTTCCCATAAGGAATAATGTAAATTATATTAATCCATTTCAGACCCCCAAAAATACACTTACAAAAGCACTTACAATAATACACCTACATAACTGTTCGAAGTGGGAGGTGGCCGAAACTTGGGGTACCACTGTATATACAATTTTTTTTTTTCAACGAACCGGCTAAATCCCACCAAGGCAGGGTGACCCAAAAAAGAAAGAAATACTTTCACCGTCATTCAACACTTTCACCACCATTCACACATAATCACTGTCTCTGCAGAGGTGCTCAGATACGACAGTTTAGATGTCACTCCAAGCAGCCAATATCCCAAACCCCTCCTTTAAAGTGCAGGCTTGTACTTCCCACTTCCAGGACTCAAGTCTGGCTAACCAGTTTCCATGAATCTCTTCACAAAATATTACCTTACTCACACTCCATTTTATCACAAATTAATCTACATTTATTAATAACTGTTATGGGTTTTGAATACTGCAACAAAAAGGAGGCTAGAGAAATGCCATGTTTGAGGCCAATATGTGAGGTGATTAAGGGTATAATTCATAAAGCTGATAAGGGTTATTGTGGTGGTATGGGCATGTAGAGAAAAAGGAGAGGGATAGGGTGATGAAGAAAATTAATAAATCTGAGGTGGAAGGCAGGAGGGGAACAAGGGGCTTGACTTTTAGGGTCTTAAGCAACCAGCAGGCTTGTGTGAGCATGTCAGGAGCCTATGAAGACAAGTTGTTTTTAATGAATATGCTGCTGGAGTGTGAGCAGGGTAGTTTTTATGAAGAGACATGGGGATTATTATTATAATCAAAAAAAAGAAGCGCTAAGCCACAAGGACTATACAGCAGAGACATGGGGAAATAGGTTAACCAGACATGAGTCCTGGAGGTGTGAAGGGCAATACCTGCACTCTGAAGGAGGGGTGGAACTGTTGCAGTAAAACTCTGAAAGATAAAGACAGAGATGAGCCACAGGGATGTTAGGAAGTATTTCTTCAGTCTCAGAGTGGAAGAGAAGTGGAATGATATTGGTGAGGAAGTGGTGGAGGCAAGCTCCATACATAGTTTTAAGAGCAGGTATGATGTGGCTCACAAAGCTGTTGGGGAGTGAATCTGGAGTGGCAAGTTAAGAGGCAGAGTCAGGACCTGAGAATTAACCCCTGCAACCACAAATAGGCAAGTACAATAGGTGAATATACACACACACAAGCACATGTACAAAGATTGAACATACCTTTATTATTGGTAAAGTCGACATTGCTGTGAAGTCCATAACATCCAAATGATCCTAATAAGACAAAACAAAATCCTGTCTGTTGATCAGCTAGATGACTGGTGGATGAGCTAGATGGCACCCTCATTGGTTCATTCCCCATTCTTGGTGATAGCCACTCTAAAGCACTAGCACTCACTAAGCCACTCAAAGTTTTATTGGGTGGATGATCCTTGGTGACAATCACATATTGTGGATGACACCCAAAATTTCTAGTTTCATCAACAAGAGACATACCTTTCATAAATGACTTCACTCATACAGTCTTATGAAGAACCAAAAAAAATTAACATACAAAACATAAGCAGTTAGGTACCAAAAATTTATTTCTCCTTACTTGAGAGCAATGCCTTCAGGTTTCTAGCAATAGTAGTATGGGTGATACTGCCATAACAAAATGAGTGCTTCAAGGTGTAAAATAACACCAGGTGATTCATGAGGCAGAAATTTTTCACAAAATCTGTCATAAAAATTCAAAAACTTACACACAGGTAACACAGAAACCATCACAGCACTACATATTTCATCTATATTATCATTTGAAGTTGGAGGGTAATAAACCAACTCACATAATTACAACAATTAATTCAAAGTTTTTCACATATACCATTACTATTTTTGTCATGTTAACATACTTAATGTTAATTCAGCATTCACAGAATGTTAACAATAAAAACTGTAGTAGATCTGTATATTGTGGGTGGTCAAGAAACCTTCCTGAGTGAGAGTCATCACATTGGTCATGTCTCTTTGTGTTCATCTCATTGCAAGCCAACACAAACAAAACTTAAAAATGCTATTTAGTAAAGCTTTTTGATAATCATATAAACGACTGAGGATCACTAAGTGTTTTTTATTGAAGAAACTGGGAGACAGGTAGCAAGTAGGATGCACAAGCTATCGTATGAGGCAGGCAACACACAGCCTAGCTGGTCCAATGCAATCGTGATGACAGAATGCACCACATTTCATGCATATGATCATGGCTTTCATGTTACAAGGGCAACCATCCTCGCTGGTATCACTCTTCCCTTGAGGTAGCATCATGTTTACACCTTGGTTCATGGGTGGCATCACTGCTGCCATTCCATTTATGCCTGCAGATGGAGCTATTTGATGCATGTTATTGAGAGATTGCACACTGTTCATTGGTTGCATATTATTCATGTGTTGCATGCTGTTCATCATCATGCGCATATTGGGTCTCATATTCATGCTGGGGTGTTGTGAAAGAGGTGTTTGTGGAACTGGCTGTTGATGTTGGTGCGGCTGTGACTGAGACATCACAGTAGGACCACTGGTCATGTTTTGTGATAGATTTGCTATGCTGGAGTTCACTGACATTGCCCCACTTTGTCCAAAACTACCCATGCCATTCATTATGGAGTGTACTGAAGCATTCGAAGCACTGGCAACAGGTGTGTGGTCGGTGCTTTGGGTACTGTTAGAGCTATCTGATAAGTTTTCAATTGGTCGGGAAGCCCCAGCCCGTGTCGTGACAAGCTGGTCACTGTCACAGCTATTTACACCTGAACTGGGGTCACCTTCGGATAAAAAATGTCGTCCGGCAGACGTGAGGATGGTGGTAGGCGAGCCCTGAGCACTACTAGTCTGCACAACAATCCTGGGTCCAACACTGGAGGGTCGTGGAGAAAGTGCGACCATAACTCCACTTTTATTTGGTGGAGCACTGGCTGCTCTAGGAGGATGCTGCTGCTGGTTGTTGTCACTGTTGCCACCATAATCACAGTTAAGACTTGATAGACTTCCAAGTCTCACCACCTGCACGCTAGACACTGGCATCCTCACAACAATGGATTTACCTGTTGTGGATGGGCGCAGGATGGTGATGGGTCTTGGTGACACTGCAGGAGGAGCCATACTGCCCTCGCATCCATCTGACTGTAAATATAAATGTATAACTTAATAAATGAATACAATAAATATTTTGAATACTGAAAATATTAAGGTACCTTTGTGCTGGAAAAATGTGGTTACAAAATACATTTCACACAATAAATATCAGGTAAGACAAAAAAGACTAATACAGTGGAACCTCGGTGTTCGTCCAGTCCGGTTATCATACCATTCAGCTTTTTACCATTTTCCTCGGAGAAATTGTCCGTACACGACATGTCTGCCTGCCCATGGGACGTGGCCACTCGTATGTTCATGACTTAGTCTTCCTTTGTTATTCATACAGTGAGCATTACTCCGCGCTTTCATCCAAAACATTTTGTAACAATCCATTGTTTTTTGTGCTTGTGACTGCTAAATAAGCCACCATAGGGCCAAAGAAAGTTCAGAGTGCCAGCCCTTTGGTAAAGAAGGTGAGAAACATGATAGAAACCAAGAAAGAACTCATAGAAAAATACGAAAGTGGCATACGTGTGGCCGAGCTCGCCAGGATGTATGGGAAGTCTAAATCAACGATCAGTTCCATCCTGGTGAAGAAAAAAGAAATCAAGGAAGCTTATGTTGCAAAAGGGGTAAATGTGCTAATGAAACAGAGATTGCAAACACTCAAAGATGCTGAGTTGTTGTTGGTGGTGTAGATCAACAAAAAACAGTTAGTGGGGGATAGTGTTGTGGAGGTGATAAATTGCAAAAAGGTAAGGCAGTTGCAGGTGGATCTTGCAAAGAAAATGCCTGGAACAAGTGCTACTGTTAGTGAATTTAAGGCCAGTAAAGGCTGGTTCGACAGATTCAAAAAGCGAAGTAGCATACACAGTGTGTTAACATATGGTGAGGCTGCAAGTTCGGACAAACGAGTGGCCAAAGAATTCATTGATGAATACAAGGAGAACGTAGAGGCTGAAAGATTCCTCCCCCAACAAGTCTTTAATTGTAACGAAATAGGATTCTTTTGGAAGAAAATGCCAAAGAGGGCCAACATCATGCAGGAGGAAAAGGCACTGGCAGGACACAAGCCTATAAAGGATAGGCTAACTCTTTTGTTGTGTGGTAATGCTAGTGGGGATTTCAAAGAAAAGCTTTTACTGGTATATCACTCTGAAAATCCCAGTGTGTTAAAAACGTCATCAAGAGAAACTTGTGTGTGATGTGGAAGACTAACAATAAGGCATGGGTCACGAGGCTAATTTTCATTGAGTCAATGAAGTGTTTGGCCAGAGTGTAAAGAAATACCTCCTGGAAAATAAATTGCCACTAAGTGCCTCTTGGTAATGGACAATGCTCCTGCTCATCATCCAGACTTGGAAGACCAATTATTGGGGGAGTTAAGTTTCATCACAGTCAAGTTCTTGCCCCCTAATACCACTCTTCTCATCCAGTCCATGGACCAGCAGGTCATATCAAACTTCAATAAACTCTACACCAAAGCAATGTTTCAAAGGTGCTTTGAAGTGACCTCAGACACTGAACTGACCCTAAAAGAGTCTTGGAGGAATCACTTCAATATCCTCAACTGAATAAGCCTTATAGATAAGGCTTGGTAGGGAGTGAATTCCAGGACGATTAACCACTGTTGGAGAAAATTATGGCCAGTATGTGTCCTCCAGAAGGATTTTGAAGGGTTTGAGGCTGGCCCATGATGACCCTACACCTGATGTGGAATCTACTGTGCTTTTGGGGAAGTCCATGGGGTTGGAGGTGAGTGGCCAGGCTGTGGAAGAGTTGGTGGATGACCACAGGGAAGAGCTAACCACTGAAGAGCTGCAAGACCTTCATCTGGAACAGCAACAGACCTTAGCTGAGGAAATTGCTTCAGAGGAGGAGGAAGAGCAAGGGGAGAATGTGTCTTCTTCAGCAATTAAGGACATTTGAGCAAAGTGGAGTGAGGTGCACAGTGATTAAGGACATTTGTGCAAAGTGGAGGTGCAAAGCTCTATGGAGAAATATCACTCTAACAAAGCTGATACAAGCCATGTTAGCGACGTGTTCAATGACAATGCTGTGTCCCATTTTAGGCAAATCTTAAAGAGACGCCAAAAACAGGCCTCTCTGTCCACACTTTTTGTGCGAAAGGGGTCCAGTGACTCTAAAGTTGGTGTTAGTGCCAGTAAAAGACAAAGAAAGGATAGGGCTTTGATACTTGAAATCCTTATGGAGGGGGTATTCCTCTTCCAAACAATAACCTCTTATCCCTCTCCCCTCCTAGCCGTCTTCCATATGCCAACAAGTCTCTTCAGTAAAGGTAAATGTGATTTAAATGTTCATTTATTCATTAAAATTAGTGCTTTATATTTATTTCTCATTGTTTTCTGTATGTAAAACTATAGTCAATCTCTATAAAATGGTTTTTTCTTAACATTTTTGGGTGTCTGGAACAGATTAATTGGATTTACATTATTTCTTAAGGGAAATATTACTTCAGTTTCCATAATCAGTTTTAGGCTCACCTTCTGGAACAGATTAACCCTTTCAGGGTCCAAGGCCAAAATCTGAAGGGGTGCCCCAGTGTCCAAGAAAAAAAAAAAAAAAAAAAAAAAATTCTTACAGAATTAAAGATAATATTTTTGTGAAGGTAATAAAACAATAAAAAAAATTTCTGGTTAGTACTTACCGAGATACAGTGGCGGGAAGTCGATCCAAAATGACCGAGTGGCGGCAACATCAGCGACTTCCGCAAAATGCATTTTTTTTATTTTACGTTTTTTTTATACTTTTTTTCTTTTCTTTTCTTATTTTTTTCTTTTTCTATTAACATTTGTGGCCTGTGAGACCAATATAATGTATATTGTGTAAGTGTACACTCATTATATTCGACACAATAACTGCACTAATTTATCACTACATTGCTTACAACACTTGTTTCCAAGTTTATTGTAAACAAAATGATGAAAATATTAGTGCAGTTATTGTGTTGAATACAACGGTACCATATAGTACCATATGGTACAATGGTGCCATAGGGTACAATGGTACTATATGGTACAGTGGTACCATATGGTACAATGGCACCATATGATACAATGGTACCATATGGTAGAATATAGTACAATGGCACCATTTGGTACAATGGTGCCATATGATTTAATGGTATTATATGATACAATGGTACCATATGATACAATGGTACCATATGGAGCAATGGTACCAATCCATAAAGGAGGAGACCACACAGACTTGAATAACTATAGGCCAATATCCAACTTACACCCTCTCTCTAAAATCTTTGAAAAATTAATCCATAAGCGTATCTATTCCTACCTCATCTCCCACAACATACTCAACCCCTATCAATTTGGGTTTAAGGCCTAATAAAAATACTAATGATGCTATTATCCACATGCTAGAATATATTTATACAGCAATAGAGAAAAAAAGAAGTCCCACTGGGGATCTTCATTGACTTACATAAAGCTTTCGATACAGTTGATCACGACTTGCTCCACATAAAATTGTCGCACTATGGTATAAGAGGGCACTCCCTCAACTACCTAAAGTCATACCTCAGCAACAGAAGCCAATATGTGTACACAAATGGGGCAAACTCTTCCGCACAGCCAATTACAGTTAGTGTCCCACAGAGAAGTGTCCTAGGCCCTCTTCTCTTTCTCATATACATAAATGACCTACCAAATGCATCGCAACTACTCAAACCCACACTATTTGCAGATGACATTACATACGTCTACTCTCACCCGAGCCCAGTCATGCTAGCCAATACTGTAAATACCAAATTACAGAAAACATCAACCTGGATGAGGACCAACAAACTTACTCTAAACATTGACAAAACCTACTACATTCAGTTTGGTAACAGAGCTACAGACGTCCCTCTTAACATAATGATAAATGGATCACCTATCACAAAACTCACAGAGGGAAAATTCCTAGGAATCCACCTTGATAATAGACTCAAATTTCAAACACATATACAACAAATTTCCAAAAAAATTTCTAAGACCGCAGGCATACTATCGAAGATACGGTACTATGCTCCACAGTCAGCCCTCCTGGCCCTATATCACTCACTTATTTACCCCTATCTCACTTATAGAATTTGTGCATGGGGCTCAACAACAAAAAACCATCTCAGACCACTAATCACCCAACAAAAGGCTGCAGTCAGAATGATAACAAATTCCCACTACAGACAGCACACTCCACCAATATTCAAAACTCTAAACCTACTCACAATACAAAACATCCATACTTATTACTGCACCTACTACATACATAGAACACTTAACTCTGACATAAACCCTCCCTTCAAACATCTCCTTACCAACCTCAACAGAACACATGACCATAACACAAGACACAGATCACTCTTTGATGTTCCTCGTGTCCATCGCACGCTTTGCAAAAACTCAATGCACATAAAAGGCCCTAAAATCTGGAATTCATTACCTGTGAATATAAAAGAAACACTGTCTGTTTATAAATTCAAGTCTCTTCTCAAAAATCACTTACTCACCCACAACTAAATAAATACTGAATAATTGTATCTCATAAATTGTATCTCATATATGTATCTCATTATTGTACCTCATGTCAACCTGTGACCCAATCAAACTTTGTTACTATTTAACTTCATTACCTAATAGAATACTCCATTCTACTGATCACACAGCAACACAGTAAATGACCATATGACTGTCTTTGTAATACTCATTTGTACTAAATTGTTATCTGTTTTACAATAATTTTTATACCACTGAATATATCATTGCTTAGTTAATCTTAAGTTAATTTTAAGCCTGCCCATAATGCTCTGCGTACAAGTGGCTTTGGCATGCTGCACTTTAAAAATTGTATTCCTTGTACTTCTCTGTATCATGTTCAAATTAAATAAATAAATAAATAAATAAATACTGTTTGTACAGCAATGCATGCAACCATACGACCTGTTTTTGTAATACTCATTTGTGCTTGCTATCTGTTTACAATAATGTTTTACCACTGAATACTTCATTGCTTAGTTAATCTTAAGT